AAAAATTGTCTCCCAGGTAAGTGCAAGAATTAATTAGACACACAAACAAGAATGAATTGGAGGCCCACAGTAATTTCTAGGAATCATGGAGAAGGGTATCCAAAATCTTGTGGTACTAGATCAGTTGTTGTTCACACTCAGAGCAGCTGGCTCCTTTAGAAGGAATTCAGATAATGCCACATCAGTCACAGTCTAGGTGACAACATTGATAGCCATTGCCTAGAAATGGGAGAGTAACAGACAGTCTCCTCAGACTGAAAATCTCACAGAGTTTAATCTCACACAGATTGGGACTGAAAAGCTAAATTTCCTTTACATGGAAACCTAACTGAGACCTACCAGATCAAAATCCCCTATGCGTACAGGAATACAGGGAATTATCTAGTTCATGGTGTCTCCAAAATTATAGAAAAAAATAGGCAAAAGTATCACTTATTCCCAAAAGCTACGTCTACACTACAAGTTTTTTCAGCAGAAAATATTCTAATAAGGGACTAATTAGCATGAGCTGCGACATCATTAGGATATTTTCTGCCATTTTTCTGGGATAGGCATAAGGATCTTGCGCAAAACAGGGTTTTTGCACAAAACAGAAGCAGCTACACGGCTTCTTTTTGAGCAAAAAGAAACAGCAGAAAATAAGCTCATGATGTCTCGACTTATGCTAATGAGTCCCTTATAAACATCTTTTCTGCTGAAAAATCTGGTAGTGTAGACGTAGCTAAATAGTGTCCTTGCCTATTCATTTTGATTAAGCATTATATACAATACACGTCTGGTTTCTTAGGTTGGCTCTGTGAGAGTAAATATGTCCATCCCAAACTCATCCCAGTAAAGTCTGATCATCATATGATCACTCCATCTGTTTTATTCTTCTATACTGTATATATTTATGTATGTATGAATTATAAACAGACACAATTCCCTTAGGCGTGAGAGAGAAAAAAGTAAAAGGAAACAGCAAGTCTACTTCCCGGCTTCAAAAACTGACTGTCCACTTCAGAGCTGCAGCTGTTTATCTGCTCCAAATATAGAGAATCTGCTACCACAAAAGTATACTAGGACAGAATTCTCAGAGGGCAGATCCAGAGTAAGGACCTCCATGCTAACAAATCCATCAAACAGAAACATGAGAAGGCATGAGCACACATCATCTCGAAAGCCAGAGTTCTGCGTGGATCACTAGCATTTTCCAAGGAGGAACCTGTGGATTTGGGGTAGTCATGTTGTATTTTCCTCTAGTATGACATGTTTCTGTGCTGAATATTGAAATGCTTTTTGAACATCAACTGCTTCTTATACACCAAATTTACCACCACCCTAGCAAACATACACACACAACTGAAGATGAAAAGGCACCTCTTGGCCTGGGATATGAATTCTGATTAGTTAGCACAGTTAATCAGCAGGCTATAAGGGTATGTCTACACTAGCCCCCTAGTTCAAACTAGGGTGGCTAATGTAGGCATTCGAACTTGCAAATGAAGCCTGGGATTTAAATATCCCGGGCTTCATTTGCATGTTCCCGGGCGGGCGCCATTTTTAAAACCCCTTAGTTCGAACTGACTGCCCACGGCTACACTAAGTCCTTAGTTCGGATTAACTGTTACTCCTCCTGCAGTGAGGTGTAACATTTAATCTGAACTAAGGATTTAGTTTGCCGAACTAAGGACTTAGTTCGGATTAACTTCTAACTGCCGCGTGCAGCCGCGGGCAGTCAGTTCGAACTAAGGGGATTTAAAAATTGCGTCCGCCTGGGAACATGCAAATGAAGCCAGGGATATTTAAATCCCAGGCTTCATTTGCAAGTTCTAATGCCTACATTAGCCACCCTAGTTCAAACTAGGGGGCTAGTGTAGACATGCCCTAATGGAGGTTGCTTTTTTCTGCCCATTTTGGGAATAGCACCTAAGTCTACCAAAACAAAGCAAATTCATGAACTGTTTTTGGCTTGACTACAATTGCCTATTGCAGCACATATGCTGTTTGTCTGAAAAATTTCACTTATCTCTATAGAGATGTTCTTAAGCTTAGAAGACAGTACTGTGTGTCAGGAGACCTGCGTGCTATTTCCAGCTTTTCCACTGACTTCTTGTATGAAATGGGGAAGTCAGTTATCCCAGCTTATGGATAGGAAGACTGAGGTATAGTAAGGTTAACAATAGCAACCTGCAAGAGCTATTGTAACATTTAATATGTTAATATTTGTGAGGCTATGATAAGTATCATATAAATACCTATAAGCATATAAAATTAAAAATAGTAACTTCCCAAAGAGGTAAAGCTAGGAGGTGGAATCAAATTCAAGGCATTGAGGCTGGAAATAAGGGAGCCAACATGCACAGGTGCTTAAGGAGCCAGGAACTATGAGGATCTCTTAACAGAAAGTATGCTATATTTTTGCCATATGCAGTGACAAAAACCAAGGCTCAATCCTTCAGCTCTTATTCATCCAAGCAAGCCAACTAAAATCATTACACACATGAGTAAAACATGTAAATTTGGACCTTAAAAGCTAGCATTTATCTTATTGTAATATTCAACGTAGCATTTATTTTTATAAATTTAATCATAAAAAGAAAACAGGGGTGTTCTGTGGGTTCTCACAGTCACATGATAAATACGGCAATTGATGTGGAAAACTTCCCAAATTCATTGCAATGAGCAGTACAATGAGATAAAGGCTTAAAGCCTTCATCCAGTAAAGTACTGACATATG